ATTTTCAATAACCTCATATGCATTGGACAGTGAATAAGGAAGACCATAGAAGAATTGATGCCTTTGAGTTATGGTGTTGGAGAAGAATATTGAAAGTGCCATGGGCTGCCAAAAGAACCAACAGATCTGTGTTGGGAGACGTATAGCCAGAGTGTTCCTTGGAGGCCAAAATGGCCAAACTTCATCTCTTATGAGGACATATTGTCAGGAGGGACCAGTTGCTGGAGAAGGATATCATGTTTGGTAAGGTGGAGGGTCAGAGAAAAAGAGGAAGACCCCCAGCGACATGGATTGGCAGAGTGGCAGCATCAGTGGGCTCAAGTGTGGCAATGATTGTGAGGTGGGCCCAGGACCGGGCAGTGTTTTGTGTTGAGTTGTTATGAGTTGGTACTGGCTCGATGGCACCTAACAACAACAACAGTAAACCCTGGTGTGGTGCTGCGGGTTAGTGCGCTGAACTGCAGAGGCGGTTTGAAACTCAAAGTCGTCAGTTCAAGCTTCCAGATGCTCCTTGGAAACCCGATAAAGGGTCACTGTGTGTCGGAACTGACTGGATGGCACTTAACAACAACAACCCAAAAGATTTATTAAATATTAACAAAGTAGCAACATTCTAAGCAACTTGTTGTAAAATAGTACAATAGTGTGAAGAGAGATTTATACTTTGAAATTCAATTTTAAAGAATTCCAGTTGTAGTCTTCCTTCAGGTGTTGGGTGCCATCAAGTAGATTCTCCGTTGTGAAGTGCCGTCGAGTCAGTTCTGACTCATAGAGATCCTGTACAGGTTTTCCAAAGAGCAGCTAGAGAGTTAGTGTTGAACTTCACAGTCCTAACGCATTAGCCCACAGCACCACACCAGGACTCCAGTGAGTCTATATAATAGGAGGCTGGAGTCCTGGTGTAGCGCTGTGGGCTAATGCGCCAGACTGCAAAGCCATTTGAACTGCAAGGTTGGTGGTTCAAGCTCACCGGCTGTTCCTTGGAAACCCTACACAGGGTCGCTATGGGTTGGAATCGATTTGATGACACTTAACAACAACAATAATCAAATATTTGGAGTCCTGGTGTGGTACTGTGGGCTAATGCATCAGCAGAATCATTTGAACTACAAGGTCAGTGGTTCAAGCTCACTAGTTGTTCCTTGGAAACCCTTTACAGGGTTGCTATGGGTCAGAATTGACTCAACGGCACTTAACAACAACAACCAAATAATTGGTTGAGTCTTGGTGTGGCATTGTAGGTTAATGTGCTGGACTGCAAAGTCAGTTTAAACTGCAAGGTTGGTGGTTCAAGCTCATCAGCTGCTCCTTATAAACCCTACACAGGGTCGCTATGGGCCAGAACCAACTGAATGGCATTTAACAATAACAATCAAATACATGAGTGAACAAATAATTGAATTAATACATGTTCTAGAGAATGAGTAATAAAAGATAATGCTTGGGCAGTAGCTTGTTGAGATTTGTGTATCTAGTATACTGATTGGAGTACTTTGTTTTCTATTAAAGCTATTTCCTTTATTTTTGTAGCATTATGGATCCAAGCTTGCTGAAAGAACGGGAGCTGTTTAAAAAGCGAGCTCTTTCCACTCCTGTGGTAGAGAAACGTTCAGTACCTTCTGAGTCATCTTCATCGTCAAAGAAGAAGAAAGCAAAGCTAGAACATGGAGGATCATCAGGCTCCAAACAAAACTCTGGTTAGTAGCACTGGTTGTTGACTTTGCAGTCTATTTTTCAGAAGGCCATTTAGTCATGGCAAGTCCATTGCCAAGTTCAGTATTCTAGTGATTGTTAGTCACTGTGTTAAAGTCTTCAGGGATGACATGATAAGAGCGGTTTTGCTGTTCATATACTCAGTCTTGTGATGCAGTTAAAGTTTAGGTAATTATCTTTTTTTAAAAATAATTTCTCTGAGGTATAATTTGTTACATGTACACCATAAAATTGCATCATTTTAGGTGTACATGTAAGTGATTTAGTAAATTTACAGAATTGTTTAGCCATTTCCATAATCTGGATTTAGAACATTTTCATCACCCCCAAAACAGCCCATTTGTTCCCCATTTGTGGTTGCTCCCTGTTTCCACACCAACCCTGGCAACCAGTGATCTGTTTTCTCTCATGTGCTTTATATAAATGGAATCAGAAAATGTATATTCATTTGGTTCTGACTTCTTTCTTAGCATAACATATAGATAAGTTTTTAAAGCTTTATTAAGTTATAATTTACACACCCAAAATTTCCCCCATTTTAAGTGTACATATCAGTACACTTGAGAGTTGCTCAACCATTACCACAATCTAATTTTAGAACATTTCTATTACCCCAAAAAGAACTCTTATAGCCATTTGTCATCATTCCTTCTTTCCAACCTGGGCCTCTTATTGTTGCTAAGTGCCCTCAAATTGGTTCCCACTCATAACAACATTGTTTAGTGTTTCTGAGGAGCAGCTGGTGAGTTTGAACTGTGGATCTTGTGGTTAGCAGTCCAGTCCTTATCCTACACCACATCAAGAGTCCTAAGCAACCATAAATCTATTTTCGGTCTTTATAGATTTGCTTTGTGAATAGTTTATATTATTCCCTATATTATCCTCTCCCCAAACCCCAACCAACCACATATACTTTTGGTATCTATGTATTTGTCTTTTATTTGTCAGTTATGTCTTTTATTCCATATAAATCGAGTCTTACAGTATGTGGTCTTTTATTCTCTGTGTTCTTTCACTTCACATGCTTTTCAGTATTATCAGTACTTCATCCCATTTTATTTCTGAGAGTATTCCATTATATTGGGTATACTACAGTTTATTTATTCACTAGTTAATGTACATTTGGATTATCTATATATATTGGCTGTTATGAACATTCATGTACAAGGTTTTTTTGTTTGTTTGTTGTGAATTATGTGATAGTTCACATGGGAGAACATTAGCTTTACATTCATCCTATCATATATCGTTTCATTGCTGTGGTTACAATCCTCTCCATGCATCATCATCTCTGCCTCCATCTCTGGCATCACTGTTTCTCTGCGTAGGGTCCCACACTCCACTCTTCTCCCTTGACAGTCCCAGGTACCTCTGCTCCTGGACTGCAAAGTTAACCACTACCTTCCTTTTGCTACAAAAACGTCTACCTTTACATTTCCCACCTTCAGTCTGTCCTGATAGCAGTTATTCACTATTGTATCTCAAGAGTCCTTCCCCATCTCCTTTAATCAGCCCTGCCCAGACAGATTGGATACTACTCAGTGGAGATTCTATCTTCCTCTGCACCCTCTGGATCTAGGCTCCCTCTTGAAAGCTTGTAAGCCAGTCACTTCTTGCCTTTGTTGTTGTTGTTGTTAAGTGCCGTCAAGTCAATTCTGACCCATAGCGACCCTGTATAAGTTTTCCAAGGTGAGCTTGAAACACCGACCTTGCAGTTCAGTAGCCCCCCCATTTTGGGTAGCCAGTGTCCAAGTTGCCCATCCCTGTCTGTTGAGGGGTGGAATGTGTATTGAGGGGTGGGAATGATCCTCTCTGTAAAGATTTGTTCCTTCTTTTGAGCTACTGCATCCATAAATTGTATCAGATTATTCTTTTTTACCTCTCATTTTTTCTTCTAGTTGAGCTGTGTTCTTGTTTTTGTTTTTCCTGTTGGTCTTTCTTAAAGAAGTATCTTCTGTTTTTCTAGTTGCTCCAGGCTGGTCTGCTTTTCCTTTCAAGTGGAAATTTCCCACCTCAGAAGATTCTGGATGGGGTTCAAGATTCCACCTATGGTCTTATGCAATGCAGAGGCTTTGCAGGAAGCCTGCTTCACTGGGAAATTTGTAGCAGCATTTTAGGTATTCCAATCAGTTATAGGCAGAAGACAGACTTGCATGCTTTCTTTGGTGATATTTCTGGTTGTTCCTTTCTTTCCCCCTCGTGTCTATTTTACAGTGGTATGCAAGGGAAACCAAGATTCAAAAGACAGCCAAGCATCTTAACATTATTTCCCCATCATGTACAAGGTTTGTGTAGACATCTGGTTTTATTTCTCTTGAGTAGAATCCTAGGAGTTGAATTATAGGGCCACAGGGTAAATTTATATTTAACCTTTTAAGAAACTACCCGAATTGCCACATCACTTAACATTCTCACCAGCAGAAATTAAGGGTTCCAATTTCTGCTCATTTTTGCCAAAACTTATTATCTGCTTTTTTGATCATAGTCATTTTGTGTGTGAAGTATCATTGTGGTTCTAATATGTTTTTCTCTAATTATTATTGAGGCGTCCTCCTGGTGTGGTGCTGTGGGTAAATGTGCTGGATTGCAAAGTCAGTTTGAAGCTCAGGGTTGGTGGTTCAAGCTTACCAGCCGCTCCTTGGAAACTATACAGAGTGGCTATGTGTTAGAACCGAATCAGTGGCATTTAACAGTGACAACAATTATTAATGATGTTGAACATCATTTCATGAGCTTGTTGGTCACTCATACCTTCTTTGGTGAAATGTTTATTAAACTATTTTGCCCATTATAAAAATAGTGGGTTTTTTTTAATGACTTTTAAGAGTTCTTTATAAATTCTGGGTGATTTGTAAATATTTTCTCCAAGTCTTTGTCTTGTCTTTTCAAATTCTTTTGGAGTCCTGGATGGCGCTGTGGGCTAATGCTTCAGACTACAGAGTCATTTGAACTGTAAGGTCAATGGTTCAAGCTCACCAGCTGCTCTTTGGAAACCCTATGCAGGGTCACTATGGGTCAAAATCAACATGAAGGCACTTAACAACAACAACAAAGGTGACTGTGGATATGCAAACATTTTTCATTTTGATAGAATCCAATTTATCAAACTTGAAAAATTTTTGTGTTCTTATTGTCATATCTAAGAAAATTTTGTGTAACCTGATGTCATGAAAATTTACTCCTGTGTTTTCTTTTAAAAGTTGTATAGTTTTAGCTCTTATATTTAAATCTGTGATGTTGTTGTTGTTAAGTGCCATCGAGTTGATTCCAACCCATAGCGACCCTGTATAGGGTTTCCGAGAAGCAGCTGGTGAACTTGAACCGCCAACCTTGCAGTTCACACGGCTTTGCAGTCTGGCGCATTAACCCACAGCACTACACCAGGACTCCTAAATCTATGATATGTTTTGTTAATTTTTTGTTGTTTGTTTCTAAGATTATTGTATTTTTGTTACTGAAAATATGCACAGCAAAGCATAACCAGTTCAATAACTTACTCACATTAATTACATTCTTCAAGTTGTGTAATCTTTCCCACTCTCCCTTTCTGAATTGTTTATCCTCAATGTAAACTGTCTCCTAAGGTTCCTGTCTAACCCTTTGAGTTGCTGTCTTGAATTTGGTATCTCATATAGATATTTTAAAAGAGTGCAGTGCTCAAGGCAGACAATTCTTTTTTTTTTTTTTTTTTCTTTCTTAGTAAATGTTTTATTGTGAAATATGTGATAGTTTACATGGGATACCATAGGTTTTACATTTATTCTGTCATATATCGTTTCATTGCCATAGTTACAATCCCGTCCATGCATCATCAACCAACCAAAGGGTATACCCTGCAAGCCTGCCCCTCTTAAGTCCTCAGCACACAGCCCCTCTCCCTCTCTGGATCTCAAGTCCCCAGCTGCTCCATCTCTCCGCATCATCGTCTCTGCCTCCATCTCAGGCATCACTGCTTCTCTGGGTAGGGTCCCATATCCGCTCTTCTCCATTGTTGTGTCCCAGGTCCCTCCACTCCTAGACTGAAAAGTTAATCACTCCCCTCCTTGCTGTAAAATGTCTACCTTTACATTTCCAGCCCTCACAATCAGTCCTGATAACAATTCACTGTTACATCACAGGAGACCCGTCTGCATTTCATTTCATCAGCCCTTCCTAGACAGGTTGGATATTACTCACTGGAGACTCTACCTTCCTCCATTTCCTCTGAATCTAGGTTCCCTCTTGAAAGCTTGTAAGCCAGTCACTTCTTGCCTTTGTAGTCGTTCTCCCCCCCCCCCCCCCATTTTGGGTAGCCAATGTCCAAGTTGCCCTTCCTTGTCTACTCTTTGTGTGGAGGGGATGGGAATGATTCTTGAAGTGAAGATTTGTTTCCTGTTTTGAGCTACTGCATCCATAGGTGTAAGTCATGTTCATCAAATTGTATCAGATGACACATTTTTTCCTCTTTCTTCTTCAGATTGAGCTCTGATCATCCAGTCATTGAAGCCAGGTCAAGTGGGTATTATCTACAAGTGTGGGTGTTCTTGTGCATATGCCCTCTCTTCTTATCAGCTGGATGCTTCACTCTCCATTCTAGTCCTCTGTGGCTATGTCACTGACTCTGGACCTAAGAGTCCCAGGTCTTGGCACACTGCTGGCCAACCAGCTCTCCACCCGGGTTCACAGGAGTCTATTGAACGTTGTAGGGCTTAGCTAGCCGCTTCATTGCTGTTTTTCCCTCACTTCCCGGTATGGGTGATGTGCCACCAATCAGAGCGTGTATTCCCATTGCGTCTTAGTCTTGGAAGAGGATTTGCACTGAGGGGACCTGACCACTTGTCTTGATGTCTCTTGGGCAAGCAACTTGCTTGTTCTTGTAAGACAATTCTTTTTTATAATTAAGCTAAACTGTTGTTACATTTAAAGAAAGACATTAGAAAATCTTTATGGTTTAAGGATTATCTCAGGGCAATAATTTCAGGGTCTTATATAGATTTCAGTGTCTCTAAAAAGTCTGGATTCCATGAGGATTTTAAATTTTGTTCCACGTTTTTCCCTTTTGATCATGATTCTTTAAATTCTTTGAACATTGTTCATGGTTTAACATAGAGATCTTGATTAATTTTTGTGTGTATTTGGGCTCAACCATTTCTCTTCAGTTTTTTTTTTTTGAAACTTTTCATTGTGAACGGAGTAAAGGGTTTTAGAGCAGATCATCAGTTTTACATCCAACAAATCATACACTTTGTTTTATCTCAATGATTGAAATTCCTT